CTTTCAACCAACATTACCTGGCATGTGTACGCCCATGCAGCAGCAAAGCACTGCTGCAAGGCCAGACTGCTAAAAGACGCTAAAAAACTGAGGGAGCTACAGGCGACGCGAAATGCAGTCAGGAACTTCGTCTTCGCGTGCATCATTCCCCTCTATACGTATGCTGCTGCTGTTAACAGGCTGCAGGTGAGTGACTTGCAGAAGATTAGCGTGAAGATCATCAGGAGATCATTAAACTTAGCTTCCAAACTAAGCGACCTGCCCGACAGAAATCCTATAAAGTTACAAAATTTTCTGTCATTCGAGGTATACAGATGACCATGAAGATTCTGGATAACCCAACCCACCCACTGCACGACAGCCTTGCTAGGTGTCAGTCACGATGTGCGCATGCTAGGTAATCCTACCTCAGCGTATCTTTTCGAACCAAACTGCCTAGAAGATCCATTATCCCTGCTTCAGCGTGAACACTCAGAGACCAGGAGACTGTTCGTCAGCAATATTTGGATATGTTCAGTGTTACATAATGTTGCATTGTTTCAATTTTATCAGCTATCTATGACCTACTTTGTGATATCTTCCATATTTGTTCAATCACCGTTTATATCATCGTATTTATCAACTGTCTGCTTTATGCTATTCATCACGTCTTGACTATGCTGAAAAATCGGGACTGCTGTGACCTCTTCATCTTCATCTTCCATCGCCGCTTCTCCTTTCGGGTCGCGGAAACAGACGTGTCAGACAGAGCTTCCAACGCGCCCGATCCTGCGCCCACCAAAGTCTGAGCTTCCGCAGAAGACAACTGGAGTCTGGAACAGACTCCTTCCATATATTTGCACCAGGTTAATCTTGGCCGTTCCCTGGGCCTTCTGCCGGTTGTTGTGACCTCTTCCAAGCAATAAAACTTTAAAACTTTCAGCTTTGTACCTGCCTGGTCTCCACATCGCAGACATTAAGTCAGATCTATAATAAGCAAAGCACATATTCGCTAAAATATCCTTATGGGTGTCACCTTCTGAAACGTATGGGAAAATGGCGATGTCAATGATAAGCTTTCATGACACTAACGTAAATATGCCATGTTGCACCATGGCTGTCATCTACGGATAGATAGCGGATTTAGCAACTGAGATCAGCATGCAAAGCAAATCACTTCGTAAGAGTCGTATAATCGTTCCATTTCTGATTCTGACCCCGAACAAGAGTGCAAATGATTCCAAATAGGCCTCACTTTTTGGAGGAAACAAATGGTAGATTACAATTCATGCGAACAATTTGTCACCACAAGTCTCACATCACAGACATATTTTCTACCCATTCTTATCAAATTCATGTAAAAAATTCCTTACAGTTCTTATACTTTTGTCAGTTCAATTTTGTCAACTTTCAATGATCTAAGAGCGTGACAGAAGAAAACACAATTCCGCTGACTGGCCTTCATCACCATCATCAGCTTCTGTCGATCCCGAGCTGGACAAAAACCTCCCCATGACTGGGCCATAAGCTTCCATTTTCTGCAATTCTTATCCATCCTGATCCAAGAACTTTTCCAGCTCATCCTGACATCGTTCTGGAAGTCTTTCTAAGGGTTATTTACTCTCTCAGAACTTAGTCTAATGTATCTCGAGATCAGCGATGGTCAGTTTTTTGCAAAGTGTCTTGCACATTGCCACTTCAACTTTACTCGAGCAAAAATATCGCAGACTTCGATTTGCTCTCTTACTCATTATTCGTCTCCGGCTGTATTTGTCATTCCCGACATGCAATTTTAATGCTGTGATGCGTAGTCGACAGTTTATGAACAGCTTTCAGGCGCAGGACCTACGTTCCGCATCCACAGGTTGGCACTGGGAGCACACACGGATGCGACTTTTAGGCATGAGGACAGTTTTCCGGATAAAAATGTCCGTGTCAAAGCAGGACCGAAAATGAATTTGAAGAAGACTTAAATCATGTTTAACAAATAAGCGAACCGGCGACCTCTTGAGGTAAACAACTTAGGTTTGGAAGAGGCGCAAAATTACGTCTATACGGAATGGCTCATTTTGGAAACGGAAAATCGATTCTGCGAAATCAAGAGAAGAGTAAAATGGCATGGAACACTTTTTGAACATCAAAAATATTTTCATCTGGAAAATTGCCTTTGTGCTTGAAACAAAAAGTTAACTGTCGATATTCTGTACAAAACTAAAATTCGGTCAATAAACCTTTCGGACCGTTACATCTACAACAAAATACACTAAGGTCATATTTAAAGAAACAATTAACGCATAAAGTTATATTATCAGATGCTGCCTGTTACTCATTTTCGCGTCAGATACCTAAATTTACATTTTACTGAACAGCAACCTCACTCCTTGAAGCAACTGTACAATCTTTCACCCTCTGAGGCACCAAAAAAGCAGCTGGCTGATCATATCCAATGTTAAATTTACAGATCAGGTCTCATATGCAAATTCTGATAATATATAATAAAGCACAATATTACATTCTCCTGTCACTTCGCCGGATTTAAAAGAAAGCATAATACAGGCTATACGCTTTGTTGCGATTTTCAGATGAATCCCGCGAGCTCAGTCCCTGCTCGGATGCTCTTACCGCATTTTACCTGCATACAGGAAAAAGTAACGCGGCAACGTGCGACGCCTAGATCACACGGGAAAACGCAAGGCCAAAACCAGACTAGTTTTTTTGCCCTTCAAGTAGGAACTCACAAGAATTAACTGTGCTTCGTTCAGCTCCGGCTACGAAAAGCAAAAAAGTCTGTCACTACTGGAATATCGGCTTCCTTTATAAGTCCGCTAAAGGCGTCATTGTGGCATCTTTTCCCTAGGAGCTTGAGACTCCGCAACGACTGTCGTTTCTATGTCATCAGCAAGATACCTTTTAAAACCATTTTACAGCATCAGTACAGCATGTAGCCCTCAGTTTCCGTCTCGCAAAGCCGTATTCATCTAACTAGGAAGGACGAATGGTGTTTAAGCCCACCGAGACAAGAACCCTGGATCTGGAGAATGTGACTGCAACTCTACACTAAGTGAGCTACCAAAAAAGATGGCATGCAATGAAGCCAATACCAATAATACCAAGTTTGTCACTCAAACATACAATCATATCATACCTAAAAATGAAAGAAAAGAACACCCTGATATTCTTGAGCATTTATCAAGAATGGCAGCTTTCCGATACCGCCAGTAAGTATAATCCTCTAACTACCGATACCGGATTTACACGTGTAAAACTGTAATCCAGATAGTTACTTTACAGCCAGTGATAGTGCAGTAGTGTAAGGCGGATGGTAGTCATTATATCGGATTGTACCGCAGTAATGAGCCG